TTGTGGATCAAAATTTGGAACTGTCATGGTGCATAACATGAGAAAGCATTTACGAATTATAATGTCACTTTCTTCTATCAGAAGAGGTTTGTGTTTGTAGCAAGATTTGAATGTCACTTCTAATACTTTTATCTGTCTTATATATATATATATATATATATATATATATATATATATATATATATATATATATATATATATATATATGTTCCGTGTGTAACAGTATAATTGTCCGAATCGTGTAATAGTAACCAATTGTTTGATTAAGCTTTTGAACCGTTTCTTTTTTAAAACCGTTTTTCCCTCGAGATTGATTTGATTAGCAAATCAAAATTCGAGGGTTTTTCGAAACGAGTCTAGTTATCTATATTTATATATATATATATATATATATATATATATATATATATATATATATATTTAACCATACTTCAGTATAGTTAAACAACTATTTTTATTTAAATTTGGCGTTTTCACGTTTAATGGAACCAATTTCAAGACATTGACAGATATGAACGGTTAAAATAAAGTTTTTATGTGAGCCTATGTGTGTACATGTTTTTTTTTGTTTCTTTTTTATTTTTTTGAGCCCGTTTGCTATTTTGAAATTATGAATACCAACTCGACATCAACTCTGATCCGATTGCCCGAAAGTAAATCCCTCTCGAAATGTTAACATTCATGAAACAAACATTTTTTTATATGACATCATCTTGGGAAATTTGAAATTGGTTTCATCAAACAAGAAAAAGCCAGTTTCATGATTTCCAGTCAGCTTTAGTTTTCAAAAAATTAAATACAATATCAATCGCTATACACTGATGATGTCTTGCACTGTGTTATTTGTGATGCAGTCTATGTAGGATATACCTGGGATTCTTCTGTAGTATCTCATTTCTAATTCTTGGATTCTTTGCAGTAATTCTGTTGTTAATGTCCATGATTGCAGGTGAAAAGAAAGATTAAGAAGGCCAATACATACAATAGTCTGATCTTTGTTTCCAGGCAGATGTTCTCATTTTTCCAGATAGTTTTGAAATAGCTGCCATTGTTTGTGCTGCACTTGAAATTATTGATATCATGGTAGAGTTCTGATGTAGTGCAAACTCAATGAGGCCATAGACCTCAGTTGTCAACAAATGTGGGATTTGTTCATATGGCATGAAGTGAGTCAACATTTCAACAGAAACCTACTGATCAATTGTAAACTCAATATCACATTGAGTTGCTGCACTTTATCAGGCTTGAGGTAGAGTACCTATCTCATGTTTAACATATATGCCATCATCAGTCTCATGATTGGGTGTGGTCATAGGGTCACTGTGTAGCTGAGCACCTGACTCTCCATGGTGTCTCAGTTGCATACCAATGTCTGAATTTCTGTGAATGATGTTCCAGTCAACTCAGTAAAATTGACAATTTTTCCTATCTACCTCTTCTTTTGCCTAAGGTGGTACCTTATAGGATGGCAGTGGAAACATTGTGGCTTCTTATGACATGTCCATACCATTTTAACTTTCTTGATGGTGGTTATAAGGTCTTCTTATCTGATGGTGTCTCGCACTGTGTTATTTGTGATGCAGTCTATGTAGAATATACCTGGGATTCTTCTGTAGTATCTCATTTCTAATTCTTGGATTCTTTGCAGTAATTCTGATTCTGATTCTTTTGTTCATGCTTTCCGGTAATGTTTCTGTTTTCTAATTCTTCCACACGCAGTAACCCTTCGAATTAGTGGCTTTACTGTCTTTGCTTACGATGAACTCGATTTTAAACAAATCGGAACTATTTAGTATTTACTTATTCCAAAAAGGCAGGATTATTGAGAAAAAAAACAGGATACACACGATCACTGCCTTTATTTCAATTCCAGTTTTATTTTGAATCCTACTTCTTCGAATACTTTTTTAGCCAATTCACCTAAGCAAGGTGATAAAACCCCTAAGAAGCAGGAATTCACAGTGAGTGAAAGAGAAGAACTTAGTGATAAATAAGAAGAGAACAATAAAAGAATAGGATCCAGGAAGACAGACGGTAGCAATTGACATTGCATTTCAATTTTTGAAGATTGTAGTTGGTATGGAAGCAAGAAATCAGGAGTTTCACAGGTGAGACATGCGAGAATCTAGTTCAACTGCATCTATCTAGTTCAACACTGAAACAGTGAAACCTAGGTACCAATCTAGTAGTACGCTTATGTTTTTGCCCTAAGAAAAAAAAAAGCCCGTCAGAACAGATGCCATGAAAATATTAATAGAAAAGACAGGGGGAAGCTACGTCACGTCGGCGAGAAAGTGACTGAAGTCGAGATGCCAATTCAGGATCAATTTCTTTGAATGTTGTCAAGAATAGAGCATGATGAATTTTTTGGGTTCAAAATCATTCTTTTGTCATGAATACCTATATTATGAGCATAAACGCCTCCTTCTCTGTATACTGGCCTCGGGAGGGGAAGCAGTCTCGCACTTTTTTATTGGTAGATTCATTTGAGGTGCTCGCTATATCACAAATGATGGCACACTACTGTTACTGCACATTACAGTATACCATAAATGGTAACCCAATCAAGCGAGAAGAATCGACTTGGCAATCTACCCTGTTCATATTCTACTCTCTCCCTTAGCTAGTAATTCTTTTCAACTGCCTGATGATTGCTGGTTGTTTAATTTATTAATAATATATATATATATATATATATATATATATATATATATATATATATAAAAGGTGTATGTATGTATGTATGTATGTATGTATGTATATATATGTGTATATATATAATAAAAAAGAAACGAAGAAAGGGAGGATGAAAGAAAGAATGAATGAAAGAAAGAAAGGAAAAGACAAAGAAAAGCAAAAACGTATGAAAACAAGATATTAAGAAAAGAAAAAGAGTAAAGAAATATTACAGAAAAACATTATCTCCAAGAAATAAGCTAAAACTTAAAGAAAAAGAAAGAAAGGAAGAAAGAAAGAAAGAAAGAAAGAAAGAAAGAAAAGAAAAGAAACACAACACAAAAAAGAAAGAAAGAAAGCAAGAAAGAAAGAAAAAAAGGAAAAAACCAAAAACATATGAAGAAAAAAAGATAATAATAAAAGAAAGAAAATGTAAGAAAAACATCTTCGTGACATACCCTACATGGTAATTCTGGGTGAAATGCAATCTTTATATATATATATATATATATCTATATATATATATATATATATATATATATATATATAGACAAATCTTTGACAAAGCCAAAAAAAAGTCTGTTCATATCCATCTTTCTATTTATCTATCTATATTTCAGTCTGTTCATATCTATCTATCTATCGATCTATCTCAGTCTGTTCATATCTATCTATCTTTCTATCTCAGTCTGTCCATATCTATCTATCTATCTATTTATCTATCTATCTATCTATCTATATTTCAGTCAGTTCATATCTATCTATCTATCTATCTATCTATCTATCTATCTATCTCGGTCTGTTCATATCTATCTATCTATCTATCTATCTATCTATCTATCTATCTATCTATCTTTCAGTCTGTTCATATCTATCTATCTATCTATCTATCTATCTATCTTTCAGTCTGTTCATATCTATCTATCTATCTCAGTCTGTTCATATCTATCTATCTATCTATCTATCTATCTATCTATCTATCTATCTCGGTCTGTTCATATCTATCTATCTATCTATCTATCTATCTATCTATCTATCTATCTATCTGTATCCGTCCCTATTTATCCATTCTTTTTAATGACATCTATTTACCCTCATTCGAATTTAATTATCGCCTAGATTACCAATTCGGCAAGAAATCATTTAGTTCGACGACGCTTTACACACTTCCTACATGAAGTAAGTTTTTATGTAAAATTATTATTTGAAAATCCTAAATATTTAGGCTTTTTGTGGTTTGCTTTCTCCCTACTCCATCATCGTTGCCTTTACTGTTAATAAAAGCGAAAAACTAATTAAAGCTGTAGTAAAATGCACAACAACGACATCAGTAGTCCTAACTAATTATAATAGTACTCACTATAATAATGAGATCTCACCAACAGAAGAAAGAGGCAAACAAATGAAAATAGAAGGAAGGAAGGAAGGAAGGAAGGAAGGAAGGAAGGAAGGAAGGAAGGAAGGAAGGAAAATTTGTTGATAAGCAAGTTAAGTAGAAATAGAGAAATGAAAGGAAAACGATGAAAGTATCGAGCAAGCGGTTAAATGAAACAAAAGAAAGGAAATAAAAAAGATTTCGGAGGAATTGAATGCAATAAGAAATGGATAAGAAAATAACAAAGAAAGAAAGAAAGAAAGTTACAAATAAAGAAAGAAAGAAAGAAGGAGCGAAGAAATATGGAAAGATAACAAAAGAAAAAGGAACAACGTCAGAGAAAGAAAGAAAAAATAAAGAAAGAAAGAAAATGAAAGAAGAAGAGAAGTTATGAAAAATAGAATAGAAAATTAGTAAAAAAATCGAAAAGAAAGAAAGAACGAAAGAAAGAAAGAAAGACAGAAAGAAAAAGAAGTGAAGAAATATGGAAAGATATCAAAATAAAAAAAAAGAAAAGGAACAACGTCAAACAAAGGAAAAGAAAAAGGAAGATGAGAAAATGATAAGGAATAAAAAAAACGAGAAAATATTAAGAAAGAAAGAAAGAAAGAAAGAAAGAATGAAAATGGAAGAAGGTGAGACGGATGAAAAAATAGAAAGAAAGAAAGAAGAAAAGAAAAACAACACAAAAAAAGAAAGAAAGAAGATAAAGCAAGAAAGGAATACATAAAGTATGAAGAAAAGAAAGATAATCTGAGAAATAAAAGTAAAGGAAGATAACTACGCAGAAAAAGAAAAAAAACAAAATGACATGCAAGAAAGGAAAGCTAAAACGCATGAAGAACAGAAAGATAAGATGAAAAAAGAAAGATACACTAAAAAAACATCACAAGAAGATATAAAGAAAGAAAGAAAGAAAGCAGGAAAGAATAAAGAAAGAAAAGTAATATTAAAAGAAATCAAGAAGGGAATAGAAAAGAAAGAAATAGTAAAATGGCAAAAAGAAGAAAGAAAAGAAACAAAGCAAAGAAGAAAGAAAAGAAAGAAGGCAAAAGAGAAAGAAAAGAAAAAAAAGCAAAGGAGAAAAAAAAGAATGAAGGCAAAAAAGAAAGAAAAGAAAAAAGGTAAAAAGTAAAGGAAATAAAGAAGATAAAGGAGAAAGAAAGAAGGCAAAGAAGAATAGAAGGAAAGAAGGCAAAAGAGAAAGAAAAGAATGAAGGCAAAAAAGAAAGGAAAGAAAGAAGACAATGGAGAAAAAAAGAAAGAAGGCCAAAAAAGAAAGAAAGGAAAGAAGGTAAAAGAGAAAAAACAAAAAAGGAGAAGAATAAAGAAAAGAAAGAAGACAAAGGAGAAAGAAAAGAAAGAAGTCAAAAACGAAAGGAGAGAAAGAAGGCAAAAGAGAAAGAAAAGAAAAAGGCGAAGAAGAAAAGAAAGAAAGAAGGGAAAGAAGAAAGGAAATAAAGAACGCGGAGAAGAAAGTAAAGAAAGAAGGCAACAAAGAAAGGAAAGAAAGAAGACAAAGTCGAAAGAAAAGAAAGAAGGCAAAAAAGAAAAGAAAGAATGAAGTCAAAAGAGAAAGAAAAGAATAAAGGCAAAAAAGAAAGGAGCAAAAGAAAACAAAGGAGAAAGAAAAGAAAGAAGGCAAAGAACAAAGGAAAGGAAGAAGGCAAAAGAGAAACAAAAGAAAAAGGCGTAGAAGAAAAGAAAGAAAGAAGGCAAAAAAGAAAGAAAAGAAAGAAGGCAACAAAGAAAGGAAAGAAAGAAGGCAAAAGACAAAGAAAAGAAAGAAGGCAAAAGAGAAAGAGAGAAAGAAGGCAAAGAAGAAAGGAAAGAAAGAAGACAAAAGAGGAAGAAAAGAAAGAAGGCAAAAAAGAAAGGAAAACAGAACACATAGGAGAAAGAAAAGAAAGAAGGCAAAAAAGAAAGGAAAGAAAGAAAATAAAAGAGAAAGAAAAGAAAGAAGGCAAAAAAGAAAGGAAAGAAAGAAGATAAAGGAGAAAGAAACGAAAGAAGGCAAAGAAGAAGGGAAATAAAGAAGACAAACGAGAAGGAAAAAAAAGAAGGCAAAGAAGAAAGGAAAGAAAGAAGACAAAAAAGAAAGGAGAGAAAGAAGACAAAAGAGAAATAAAAGAAAGAAGGCGAAGAAGAAAGGAAATAAAGAATGCAAAGAAGAAAGAAAAGAAAGAAGCAAAGAAAAAAGGAAAGAAAGAAGGCAAAGGAGAAAGAAAAGAACGAAGGCAAAAAAGAAAGGAAAGAAAGAAGACAATAGAGAAAGAAAAGAAAGAAGGCGAAGAAGAAAGGAAAGGAAGAAGGCAAAAGAGAAAGAAAAGAAAGAAGGCAAAAAAGAAAGGAGAGAAAGATGGCAAAGAAGAATGAAAAAAAAAGAAGGCAAAAAAGAAAGGAAAGAAAGAAGACAAAGGAAAAAAGAAAGAAAGAAGGCAAAAGAGAATGGAAAGAAAAAAAACGAAGGAAAAAGGAAAGGAAGAAGGCAAAGAAGAAAGAAAAGAAAGAAGGAAAAGAAAGAAAGCAAATTAGAAAGAAAAGAAAAAAGGCAAAGAAGAAAGGAAAGAAAGAAGGCAAAGAAGACAGGAAAGAAAAATGCCAAGGGAGAAAGAAAAGAAAGGCAAAGAAGAAAGAAAATAAAGAAGGCAAAGGAGAAAGAAGAGAAAAGAAAGAATGCAAATGAGAAAGAAAAGAAAGAAGGCAAAGAAGAAAGAAAAGAAAGAAGGCAAAGAAAAAGGAAAAGAAAGAAGGCAAAGGAGAAGGAAAAGAACGAAGGCGAAGGAGAAAGAAAGGAAAGAAGGCAAAGAAGAAAAAGAAAAGAAAAACGGAAAGAAAAGAAAAGATGGCAAAGCAGAGAAGAAAAAGAAAAGAAAACCAAAGAGAAAAGGTTAAAGAAAGAAAGAAAAGAGAAGAAAAGAGAGACGCTAGAAAAAAGAGAACGTGAGAAGGAACAAAGAAGAAGGCAAAAAAGAAAAAGAAGGAAAGGAAAGTGATGGTAAGGAGAAACCAAAGAACTAAAACTTGGAAAGAAGGCCAGTCTCTTCAGAAGGAAAGAACTTTGCTGGAAAGGAGAAGGAAAGAAGGAAAAGAAAGAACCTTATTCACGAAAGAAGCGGCAATCGAAAAGTTGAGATCAAAAGAAAGAAAGAAGAAGAAGAAAAGAAGAAGAAGAAGAAGAAGAAGAAGAAGAAGAAGAAGAAGGAGGAGGAGAAGGAAAGTGAAGAAGGAAAGCAAAAGAAAGTGGTTAAAAAGAGTAGAGTTGACAACAGAAGAGGAAAACTAAAAAGATTTACTGGAGAAGGAAAAAGAAAGAAGGCAAAGGAGAAAAGAATAAGAACCGATGGCAAAAGCTCATAAAGAAAAAGTTAAAAGTGAAAGAAAAGAAAAAGATAAGAAATAGAAACAATAAAGAAAGTCTCGAAGACTCTTAAAAGAACGGCACAATTTGAAGGATACAAATTAATGTTAAAAAAAAGTTCGACCGAGTCCCTAAAATATAACCAAAGAACAGAATTTGGCGGCAAGAGCTCCTTCTTTTCAGCCCCCATTCAGAAAGAACGACGCCAACACAAAAATACTGACTCGAGAGGAAACACAAAGTCAACGAGATCATGAAGAAGCCTGAACGTATTGTTATGTTTTTATGTAAGTAGTACGCGAAGGTAGACGCTAACAGAAACGGTACGTCTGTGTAATAGAGCACTGACTCCTACTAACAAACGACTCTATGGGTGACGGTACCACAAACCAAAGAACTAATAACTTCGGTTGCATTTTCTCTTCGTTAGTGAACAAGCATATCGCTCGGTTGAGTGGCTGCTGGCTTTAACTGGTATTTATTCGTTCGTGTCGGGCCAGTAATATCAAATATTAAGACTTGTGGCTGTTGAGATCATTGTTCGCTAACAAATAATTAACTCAAAAAAGTTTAACCCTTAAGAAGAAGATGGACCTGGAGGAGAAACGAAGAAGAAAAGAAACAGTGTGGTTACAAAGTGTAGAGTTGACAACAGAAGAGGAAAAACTCGGGCGATTTGACATGGAGAATCGAGAAATACACAGTTTAGTCTGTTCTGCCCTGCTCATATGAACCGGTTGACCACAAATGCAAGAAGACAACAATCAACATTTAACCCTAGCGTTTATTTGAAATCTCCGCCTTTTTAAACGAAGAAACTTCTGGGTTTTACCACCAATAGGTAGGAATTTCATTTTATTATATTTACTATTGTTCCCCCTCACTGCCATTGCGTAAGAGCCACTCAAAATACATACAACGAAGATAAAAGACGTTTTTTATGAAGTTTATTTAGGTCCTCCCTTTTTTCTCCCCTCTCCTATATATATATTTATATTTTTATTTCTTATATATTGTCTTTATATATTTCTTTCCTTTTTTTAATGGATAGTAACTCCTTTATGAAGTTTTCTTTTTCTTTTTCCAGTTTGCTTTTCTTTCCACTGACGCTTTTTCTTTCCTTTGCTTTGTCTTTAAATCGCATCTCCCCAGCTATTCCTTTTTCTTTGTCTTTTTTCTTTCTTTCTTTATTTTTTATCAAATAATTTTCTCCTTTGCCTTTAACCTTTCCTTTATTTCTTGTCTTTTTCTTTCCACCCTTTTTTCTTTAAAAATAATAATTTGTCTTTTTTCTTTTATTTCCTTTGCATCTAAGACTTTTCACACAGTTTTGTCTGTTTTGCTTTTAAGTTGAACCTGTGACGTCCACAAAAATGCCGAATGACGAACGACAATTTTTAACCCTAATATTTGAAATTCTTTTTTTTTTGTCTTTTTTTCAATTTCTTTCTTTGTTCTTTCTTTCTTTTCTTCTTTTTTCTTTTTTTCTTTTTTCCTTTCTCCTTTGTCTTCTTTTTTTTTTCTTTTGTCTTTTTTCTTTTTTTTTCTTTTTTTTCTTTCCTTTGTCTTTTTTTTCCTTTTTTTCTTTTTTCTTTTTCTTTCCTTTTTTTGTTACTTTTTTTTCTTTTCCCTTTTTTTTTTGTCTTTTTCTCCTTTTTCTTTTCTTTTGCCTTTTCTTTGTCTTTTTTTTTCTTTTCCTTTCTTTTCTTTTTTCTTTTTCTTTTTTTTGTTTCTTTTTCTCCTTTGCTTTCTTTCTTTTCTTTCTCCTTTGTCTTTTTTCTTTCCTTTCTTCTTTGTCTTTTTTTTTTTTTTTTCTTCTTTGTCTTTTTTTTTCTCCTTTGTCTTTTCTTTTTTCTTTTCTTTCCCTTTGCTTTTTTTCTTTTCTTTCTTTTTGTCTTTTTTCTTTTCTTTTCCTTTGCCTTCTTTCTTTTTTCTTTGTTGTTTTTCTTTCTTTTTGCTTTTCTTTCTCCTTTTTTGTTTTTCTTTTTTCTTTCTTTCTTTTCCTTGTTTTCTTTTTTTCTTTTCTTTCCTTGTCTTTTTTTCTTTCTTCCTTTTTTCTTTTTTCCTTTCTTCTTTTCTTTTTTTTTCTTTTCTCCTTTGTTCTTTTTTTTTTTTTTTCCTTGTCTTTTTTCTTCCTTTCTTCTTTGTCTTTTTCTTTCCTTTCTCCTTTGCTTTTTTTTCTTCTTCCTTTTCTTCTTTGTCTTTTTTTCTTTTCTTTCCTTTTTTCTTTCTTTTCTTTGTTTTTTTCTTTTTTTTTTTCTTTCTTTGTCTTTGTCTTTTTTTTTTTTTTTTCCTTTCTTTTTGACTTTTTTCTTTTCTTTTCTTTTGTCTTTTTCTTTCCTTTCTCCTTTGTTTTTTTTTCTTTCCTTTCTTCTTTGTCTTTTTTTTTTCTTTCTCTTTTCTTTCTTTCCTTTTTGTCTTTTTTTTTTCTTTTTTTTTCTCCTTTTGCTTTCTTTTCCTTTGTCTTTTCTTCTTTTTCTTTCTTTCTTTCTTTTCTTTTTTTGACTTTTTTTTTTTCTTTTCCTTTTCTTTCTTTTGTTCTTTTTTTCTTTCTTTTTTTTCTTTCTTTTTCCTTTGCCTTTTTTTTCTTTCCTTTCTTTTCCTTGTTTTTTTTTTTCTTTTCTCCTTTGTCTTTTTTCTTTCCTTTTTCTTTATCTTTTTTTTTTTTCTTTTCCTTTTCTTTTTTTTTTTCTTTCTCCTTTGCCTCTTTTTCTTTTCTTTCTTTTGTCTTTTTTTTTTTTTTCTTCCTTTGCCTTCTTTCTTCTTTCTTTCTTCTTTGTCTTTTTTTTTTTCTTTCTTTTTTTCTTTGCTTTCTTTGTTTTTTTTCCCTTCTTTTGTCTTTTTTTTTCCTTTCTTTTTTCTTTTTTTTTCTTTTCTTTGTTTGTTTCTTTTTCTTTTTGTCTTTGCCTTTTTTTCTTTTCTTTCTCCTTTGTCTTCTTTCTTTCCTTTCTTCTTTGTCTTTTTTCTTTTCTTTCTCCTTTGCCTTCTTTCTTTTCTTTCTCCTTTGTCTTCTTTCTTTTCTTTCTCCTTTGCCTTTTTTCTTTCCTTTCTTCTTTGTCTTTTCTTTTCTTTCTCCTTTGCCTTCTTTCTTTCCTTTCTTCTTTGTCTTTTTTCTTTTCTTTCTCCTTTGCCTTCTTTTTTCTTTTCTTTGTCTTTTTTCTTTCCTTTCTCCTTTGCCTTCTTTTTTTCTTTTTTTTCTTTCCTTTCTTTGTGTTTTTTTTTTCTTTCTCCTTTGCCTTCTTTCTTTCTTTTCTCCTTTATCTTTTTTCTTTCCTTTCTTCTTTGCCTTTTTTCTTTCCTTTCTCCTTTGCCTTCTTTCTTTTCTTTCTCCTTTGTCTTCTTTCTTTCTTTTCTCCTTTGCCTTCTTTCTTTCTTTCCTTTCTTCTTTGTCTTCTTTCTTTTCTTTCTCCTTTGTCTTCTTTCTTTTCTTTCTCCTTTGCTTTCTTTCTTTTCTTTCTCCTTTGCTTCCTTAAATAGGAAGGCTGACTTGTCTCTTGAGCCTTGGCTAGCTGCAATGACTACCCTGAATTCAAAACTTTCCGGAAGAACGATTAGCTTTTCCCTAAAACTCATAGATATTAAAATAAATTAAAGGAAGTTGTGGAGGAGCATGATCGCCTACAAATCGAATAGGCATGGTATTAAAAAAGAAGATTTGCCTCGGGTGGCAACCAGTCGTTGAATGCAAACTTCTAGAGGAGGCAACTATGAACTACTCCTTTATCTTTCCCAAGAAATCATCACAGTTCACAGGCATTAAAAAGAGATTCATAATCTCCGATTTCCAATTCTGAGCTGTTACCCATTACGCCAGTCGCACGTCCAAACTTACAGCACCTTAAAGCGGTCACCTATCTAAATACTGTGCATGCTCGACGTTGCTTAATTTCGGTGATTAATGAATAAGTGAGAAGTGACAAATGAAAATGAATAGAAAAATTTGAGTCAAGTTAACCCTTTGAGTCGTGCGTTCCTGAACAATTTGAACCCTTCTGTCTGAGCTCCCGAACAATTTGAACCCTTCTGCCTGAGCTCCCGAACAATTTGAACCCTTCTGTCTGAGCTCCCGAACAATTTTAACCCTTCTGTCTGAGATCCCGAACAATTTGAACCCTTCTGTCTGAGCTCCCGAACAATTTGAACCCTTCTGCCTGAGCTCCCGAACAATTTGAACCCCTCTGCCTGAGATCCCGAACAATTTGAACCCTTCTGTCTGAGCTCCCGAACAATTTGAACCTTCTGCATGAGCTCCCAGACAATTTGAACCCTTCTGCCTGAGCTCCCTGAACAATTTAAACCATTCTGTCTGAGCTCCCAAACAATTTGAACCCTTCTCCTGAGCTCCTGAACAATTTGAACCTTCTGTCTGAGCTCCTGAACAATTTGAACCCTTCTGCCTGAGCTCCTGAACAATTTGAACCCTTCTGTCTGAGCTCCTGAACAATTTGAACCCTTCTGCCTGAGCTCCTGAACAATTTGAACCCCTCTGTCTGAGATCCCCGAACAATTTGAACCCTTCTGTCTGAGCTCCCTGAACAATTTGAACCCTTCTGCCTGAGCTCCCAGAACAATTTTAACCCTTCTGCCTGAGCTCCCTGAACAATTTGAACCCTTCTGCATGAGCTCCCGAACAATTTGAACCTTCTGCCTGAGCTCCCGAACAATTTAAACCATTCTGTCTGAGCTCCCGAACAATTTGAACCCTTCTGCCTGAGCTCCCGAACAATTTGAACCCTTCTGTCTGAGCTCCCGAACAATTTGAACCCTTCTGCCTGAGCTCCCGAACAATTTGAACCCTTCTGTCTGAGCCCCCGAACAATTTTAACCCTTCTGCCTGAGCTCCCGAACAATTTGAACCCCTCTGTCTGAGATCCCGAACAATTTGAACCCTTCTGTCTGAGCTCCCGAACAATTTGAACCCTTCTGCCTGAGCTCCCGAACAATTTTAACCCTTCTGCCTGAGCTCCCGAACAATTTGAACCCTTCTGCCTGAGCTCCCGAACAATTTTAACGCTTCTGTCTGGGCTCCTGAGTCAAAATTCACAAATAATTGGTATGTAATGTTTCACGGTAGATATAAAAATAGTGTTTACCCACCGTTCAACCGGTAACTGAGCATTAAGTCATTTTTCCTTATCTCTGTTAAACCGGTGGCTGGACAATAATTCATTTTTCTCTACAACTGTTCAACCAGTGGCTGAGCCTTACGTCATTTTTCTCTACCACAGCTAAAGCGATGGTCAGGGCTCAAAAGGTCAATGCATAAAAATGATCTGACGGATGGTGACGCAAAATCTCTTTTAAGAATATTTAAGAAATATATAACCAAAAAACTGTCGGTGTCCTTATGGACTCACCTATCGCTCCAAGAAAGCCGGTGTTTTATCGTGATATGGCCGTAAGACTTAAACAAAGAGAGGAAGACTGTGATTGGCTACACCATGAAGGACGCAGCATTAAAAAAAAAAGAACACAAAACCAGAGCTCAAAAGTTCCTCTGTTGGAATTCCGATCATATTCAGCGCTGCGTCAAACGAAAATAGGCTTCTTTTTTCCGTTTTTTTTACTATTATCCACCCAAAAGAAGACCCAAGAGCCACTCAAGCTAGAAGTTAACTAAGCCGAAAAGCAGTAAAGTCGTACAGAGAGATACCTAGGGTTGCATATTATGACGATATGTAAGATAGATCATAGTTCTTTATCCTCGACTTTAAGAGGTTGGGAGTGATCAGGGAAGCATCCCCTCGGGAGTCCATTCCACATTGCTACAGTTCTAGGGAGGAAGCTGTCTGAGGGTAAACTAATCCTTACCACTGGAATATGTAGAGAGGAGGATGAGTGGGCACAGTGTACGTGCCATGGCGGATTTTAGCTGTGAAGGTCTGAACTGGTTCAACCAAGGAATATAGTTCTACCGGTCACCTGCCATGAGCAGCGAGAGACTAGTAAGGTCGCTTTTGTGGGAAAAGTGTTGAAAGGTAGAAAAAGGTAGCTTTTGAGCTCGGTCGAGGCCGGAAAGTGAGGACTATTTACCCAGCTTGGAGCAAGGGCGCACAAAAAGGACCGATTTTTCTACACAATAGAAATAATCGTTTACCGTTACTTGTTAACTTTTACTCGACGTTCTTGCAGAATCCAATAACAATATATTCACCACCCCATCTCATCTATATAAATAAATACGAATGTCAGTGTTTCAGTGTGTCACACTTTTCCAACTTTACTCCTAGAGGCCGTTACCCAACATATCATGCTATTTTGGAATCAGTCCGATTCCGTGAGCAAATTAAAAACATTCCGGGTCGGATCCGGACCTGCAAACCTGAAATGTTGGATTCCCAAGTTTTCATTACTGTTATTGTTTTTAGCAATTTTTTACGTGATCTTTTGCGACGAAATTTTTGTACGATAACAATTTTTATAACTTGGAAATAAATTTGAGAATAATTGAAATTAATTGCAAAATCCAGTGAAAGTCACCCATGAAATAAAAAGAATTGTTTGTACGGAAAGTAAGGACCTACGTACATCAAATTGTCTTTAGATTGAGTGGCTGCAGAAGAATTATCGTTGAACTTTTAAAAGGTAAGCTTAAATAGAAACGTAAATACTTAAATGGAGCGATCAATTTTGAGTTCTTCTGTTGTTTATTGTTGCCTATCGCATACGGCAGCATTATGCCTCGCAAAAAGAAACCTCCTCCAACAGAAGACCAGGTTGCAGTCAAAAAAGTCAAGGCTGTAGCGAAGAAAAGAAAGTCTCGTTCAAATGAAAACCCAGCTCAAACGTCAGCGAGAACTTCCAATGCTGGGAATATGGAAAGACTTAGAGACTCTTAAAAGTCTTGAACAAACTGAAGACCCAATCAAAATTCCATCGCTGTCGCTACCTGAAATGTGGTTAGAATGTTCGCATTCTGATCATGAGATCCAGGTTCGAATCTCACCATGGCTGATTTGTCAGGAAGGAGACTTCCTGATGTTATCGAACTCAAGGGGTCGATCCCAGCGCGCGACACCTTTGGAAAGTGCCCGAAAACCACACCACGGGTTGATACAAGCCTTGTGGGTGAAATTGGGTAGACGGAACACTTAGGCGCCTTCAATAGCTGTGCTAGCACGAAGTCACAAGTCATCTGTGGCCGAGGGCTTGAGTTTGCCGGCCTTGTTTAAATTGTTGATCACGCTCTTTCCCAGAAACTGTAACTATGGTTTGCTAAGCATAGTTGCAGTATAACCACAGGTGGGCTGTGTGAGTGTTGAATAATCACAAATGCGCCCGAGCAAGCGTCTGCAATAGGGACTGGCTAGCCACCCTAGTAGACGGGTATCCTTGAATACGAGTGGCGAGCTATGCATGTGCACCCCCGAGATGTAGCTTAAATGATATATAATACCCCAATTAAGTTTGGTCGCGCCTCACCAAATTTAATGTGACAAATGTACATTTAAAAAACAAAAAAAAACAGAGAGATGATTAAAGGAATATAATCACAGATTTGAAATCAGAACATTATTATTGATAACTCTCTCCTCCAATTTGCTGACCCTAATTACTATATTCTTAATAATTGATATAATGCAAAAATATCAATGATAAAATCGGTCAATAATTATTTATACTGGAATTCATGCATGCAATTGCAAGTAATTCAAAATAATATTTTTAATTTTAAAAACATTTATTTTCGGCATATGAATCTTTTGAAAGTATTTCTCAATTTTAGATAGATAGGCTTTGGCTCTTTAGATATTCTCTCTCTCTCTCTCGCTCTCTCTCTCTCTCGCTCTCTCTCTCTCTCTCTCTCTCTCTCTCTCTATATATATATATATATATATATATATATTATTTAATTTAAAGAAAAAACAGACTACTTTAAGGTTTCATTAGTTATAATTTATTTCACCAGAGATTTTATTTTCTCTGGATCTTCAGACTCACATTCAAGCCTGATAAAATGAATTAAAAATTTACACTGAATTTGAAGGGCAGTATTAAGCTTATATAAGGTGACATCGAGGGTGGTGAGGGATAGTGTGAGAGACATGGTCGAATTTAGAGCGGGAAGGGAGAGTTTTAAATTTTATTTTTTATTTTTATTACAATACTTAATATTGAGGAGAAGGGCGTAAGAATCAGACATTATCCTATTTAAACGGCCAACTCACCGGAAATGATATGGGAAAAAGAAGAAAAGAAAAAAGGGAAAAAAGGGGGGAAAGTAAAGAGATACGAAATAAGAGATGGACGTATGGTTTTGAAAGAAGGAGAAGGGTGGTATGACTAGATGTTTAAGAAATTTAGATAAACACAGATCTTAACGTTTGATAGTAATTTAAATGTTTGAAAACTCCACAAATAAACTAGATTTAATGCTTGCTGGCAATTTAAATATCTAACTTCTCCTCAATTAAATTAGAGATTGAATATAAACTGAATATTAATAAACAAATATACAAATGAAAATAAAAAG